CTCACTTATTTAAATTATATTACATTTAATATATATTACATATTTCATCTGATAAATCCGGAACATTATATGAACTATGACAACCTCTCACGCAACAATTTTCAATTTTATTCAACACATTAAATACAATCCATCAAATAAATACATGAATTGTGCCATATTTCTGAGTGATATTATTTTAAATGGTACAAATTGTACATTGTTAAACTATGCTGTAAACTACTGTATGCCGTAATGTTATATAAATAAATACTGTATGCTGTAGTGATATAATATAAATAAACTATGCTTTTAAACTATGTTGTTGTGATATATAAAAATCACTTGTAATCATGGCACAATTGTTTTTTATGTATCGATTATATATATATAACCATATTATTTATATAAACCAGGGGTGCCCAAACTCGGTCCTGGAGGGCCGGTGTCCTGCAGAGTTTAGCTCCAACTTGCCTCAACACACCTGCCTTTAAGTTTCTAGTATGCCTAGTAAGAGCTTGATTAGCTGCTTCAGGTATGTTTAATTGGGGCTGGAGCTAAACTCTTCAGGACACCGGCCCTCCAGGACCGAGTTTGGGCACCCCTGATATAAACTATTGAACCAACTGTACAATAACTGCATTGTTAAAGTATGCTGTTATGATACTGCCTCAAGCCAAGGCGCCAGACTACCAAGGCTTGGGAGCTTTGCAAGATGCTAAGGCTTGTAAAGGCCACTGATGTCAGTCTGTCAGATGCTAAGCTGAGGAATGGAGAGGCCGAGACAGGAATCTCTAGGCTGGCTGTGGCAGGAACAGCTTTCACATGCATCGCCCTCTTGGGCGGCCATGAGAGGAAATTCTGGGACCACGATGACAGGTGACAGGGTGTTTTTTGGACTGTCTAGGTGCTACCAAGGCTTGCCAGCTCCAAACAATGCTAAGGTGTGGAGGGATGGCCACTGACGTCAGCTGAAGGAAGATTGTACCGAATCAGATGGCAGCAATCTGCAGGAAGGGGGAGATGGGAGAGTCAGGTTATAATCTTTAATCTTTAATTTTGCACCTGCTGTCTTTGAAATAAAATGAAAAGATTTGACTGTTCTAAATTATAAGTTCAGAAATTCTGGGAAAAGTCCAACACTTGGCTCAGATGTTACTTTTTTTAGATGTTTTGTATGATTTAGAATTACAATTGGTCTTTTTTGTTCTGATGAATGCCATGTTACCGTCTGACAAGCCAGGCTCAAACCATTTGCCCCAACCTATCTCCAGCAAGTCCTTATTTTTGGGATAGCGTCCACACACCATTACGAACAGGAGCACTCCCAGTGACCATACAGTAGCAGGTTTCCTGTGGTACCTGCCCTCCATGTCATACTCAGGGGGGAAATACTCCGCTATGCCTGAAGGAAAGACATTTTATTTGATAAGCGAGCTACAGTACAGTGGAATATGCTTCAAGTCGTCACTAGAATCCTAAACTTCACATTTGATGAATAATACATACCCCAGAAGATGTCATAACCAGTTTCCCTCAGCAGATCCCCACAACCGAAGTCGATCAGCTTGACTTCAAGGGTTTTGGGACTGATCAAGAGGTTGTCCAGCTTGATGTGAAACACTCCATGCTGATAGCACATGTATGCGGCGTATGTTGCCTGCCACATGACCAGCCGCGCTACATCCTCACTGAGGGTGCCACCACATCGCTCAACATAATCAAACAGATCTTCACAAGGTGAGGGACGTTCCAGGACCATGATGTATCAGTCAGGCTGGTCCTGCCAATCCAGCAGCTCGATGATCTGAGGTACTTTAGGATCTTTATTAACCAGAAGTAACAGGCCGACCTCCAATGGAAGAGGTGTAGGATAACCAGGCTAGATGAAAGATCATTTTTAGAATTGTTAGATGGAAGAGTTATACTAAATATGGATTCAGTCCAGTCTTGGACAAATTGTTTAAACTGTGAAACTGTTACTACTTACAATGTTGATGCAAACCATGTTCCTCGTCTTCCTGGCAAATTTTATTGCCACCTGTTCCAACAAGAAAAAAAGGGTTACAATTTCATTTTAAACATGTCAAGTTCACTAAATAGTGGACATAAAATAAACCAAGAGGACTTGAAATGGACAGAGTGAGATAAAGCAATTTGCTAGCTAAATATACGCTGTAAAATCACAATACCTCAAGGCCGTTCTCCAAGTGCTTCCCTTCATAGACGGTGCCGAATCCTCCTTCACAGAGCATTCGGCCAACTTTATACCGGCTCAAAATGTTCTGCTGATTTTCAGGTTGACTAGAAGGAGGCTCCTGACGACCACCATCTGCTACAGGACAGTTAATGTCCTGCAGAAGACTTTGCTCTAAAGCGGGAAATATCAAATGATTCTTCAGTTAGGGGCATTTTTGATTAGGGTTAGGCTTATTCTCAACAAGGGTATTTGATTTACCTTTATAACGGGACTTCTGTATAACGGGACATCAGCCTGCTCCTGCACCTGCTGAGCCTGACCTTGACCTGGGCTGCCTTTCCGGTCAAAGAAATACAAAGAGGACTCCTCCTCAACACTATCCGTCCTCTTCTTCTTTCTTTCCGGCCCCTCATCTTCCTCATCATCACTAGTGGACTAAAGGTACTCTGCTGCGCTGCTGCTAGATGTTGAAGATGTACTTTCATAGAGGTTGTACACCTGAGCACTGTGTGAATTCCTTTTTCTCCTCCGGCTGGTGGTAACAATTGTCCACTTGGTTTCATCTGCGTTAAAAAATTGGGGGAAAGAATCAGTTCACAGTCTTAATCAAACTTCAATTGGATTTGGATATAATGTGTGATGGTGTGAATTTTTACTTATGACACATCATTCTAATTTCCCTTAATAAAGTCCTTATTATGGAAACCCATATTTAGGTGAAAATCCTGTAGAGTTCTTGATGCACAGAGCTGTAGATTTGATTGATTTACCATCAGTGCTTCTCTCATGTTCTGGTGCAGTAGTTTGGTCCTGCATCTGCTCATTTGAGCGGCGCGTGTTGCCTGCAGCATGACAAACTGTGCCATGTCCTTACTGAGAGTTTTTCCATGATGCTCCAAAAAGTCCACCAGATCTTCACAGGGTGAGGGACGTTCCAGGACCATAATGTAGTGGTCAAGCTGGTCCTGCCAGTCCAGCAGATGAATGATCTCTGGAACGTCGGGACCCTTATTAGCAAGAAGTAACAAGCCGACCTCTAAGGGAAGGGGTGCGGAATGACCAGGCTAGAAGAAAGATCATTTAAAAGATCATGGTTAGATGGAGGTGCTTTCCCAAACAAGATTTAGTCCAGTCCTGGACAAACTGTTTACATGTTTTACATTTAAAACTGAATGTTGATGTATCTACTTACAATGTGGATGTATTCCATTGTCTTTGGCTTTCTGGCTAATTTCACTGTCACCTGATGAACAAAACATAATCACAATCACATTTCAAACATGTCAAGTACACTAGGTCAAAATAATGGACATAATGACAAAATAACTGGAGTGAGATGATTATTATTAGTATTATTATTATAATAAAACGATTAGTATTTATGTATAAGGGAAATTTAACAATTTGCAAGCTAAATATAGTAAGGAAAATAATAATGATACCCTAAAGCCATCCTCCAAGCGTCTCCCTTCATAGACAGCGGTGTATCTTCACTCACCGAGCAATCTACCGACCTAATACTGGCTCAAAATGTAGTCTGTTAAAAGAAAAATAATTGTAGTTGACATGAAATTTCAAACACTGACAGCAGTGTATGTAAATGTTTGGGGTTATGGCAGTAAAAGCACCATCAACTGTCATGTCCACTTCGTTGTTGTCAGTTGAAGCTGGACTGACAGGACTTCGGTGGACTTCGGATGGAGGGGTTTGAACCTGCTGCTGATTTGCAGGAGAGAGGACTTCAAGACCACTGAATGTGGCCTGGTCCTCCACCTGCTTCTCAAAACTCTCCTTCCTCATCTTCTTTCTCTTTCTCTCATTTCCCTCACCAGCATTAACGAACTGACGGTGGTACTCCGCGTCAGTGCTGGATGTTGGGGGGTGTACTTTGATGGAAGTTATACACCTGAGCGCTGCGAGAACTTCGTTTTCCCATGATAATCGCTGTTCACTTGGATAACTCGATATGTAATAACTGCTGAATGAGCAATAGAACAGTATCTAATATGTGAGCGCGAACCCAATTAATGTAGATTAGTTCAGCTCGCTTGACACTGTACTGTGAAATGTTCGTTCTACGCATATAAAGACTCTAAACAAAAAAAGTTCTGTACTACTACTTTCACTGATAGCTTTCGACTTTAATACTTTTTACATTATTTTTTTTTTTTGCTCAATTCCACACATGAAAAAAAAACCTACCGATTTAAATATGTATTAATACATACAAAAATGGTAAAATATACTGTATATATACTGACCAAAAGTTTAGAATTAAAATTTTTAATTCGAGGCTGCATTAGTGTAATCAAAAGTAATCATACAGAAATCATTGTGAAATATTACAATTTAAAATCACTTTTCTATTTTAAAATGTAATTTTATTCCTGTGATGGCAAAGCTGAATTTTTAGCAGCCATTACTCCAGTCTCTAGTGTCACATGATCGTTCAGAATTCATTCTTATATGCTGATTTGGTACTTTATTATTACTGGTGGTGCTCGAATATTAATAATGTTTCTTATCATTGTCAATGTTGGAAACAGTTTTTACTGCTTAATATTTTGTGGAAACCGTGATATATTTTTTCAGGATTATTTAAATGAACAAATTTCTTAAGAACAGCATTTATTGGAATTATTGGTCTTTGCGGTCACTTTTGATGAATTCAGTACACCCTTGTGAACGTTATTAATTCCTTTATTTTAAGCCTTTTAAAATTAACCTAAAATATTACTGCAAACTTTTGGCAGCCAGTGTATGTGAAGTATAAAAAGAAAAAATGCTAGTGTTGTCACATGATCTCATTTCATTGCATGTATCAAGTTATCATTGCAAAAATAAGTGTTTTGCATTTTTAATCCAATAGTATCAGAAACTAAATGGCAGACGGCAGTTAATATACCTTCAGTACATTCATTCCTGGAAGGTCAATGGAAATGGAAGGTTGAGTCGAGTGCATTGAATTCTTGAATAAAACATTCAAAGCAGTGTGCGAGTTGTATGCCATATGTTATGGAAATCTAATCAAGTAGGCAATTTTTCGCACAGAAAATGACTTCAATCCACTCCGAATACATTCTGCAAGCACAAAATACAGGAAAATGCAGTACAGAACTTCAAAACAAACAGCTGATCAAAAACAAGCACTTTCTTCTGAACAGGTAGGAGAGGGCTGGTGTCCTTCAGTACCTAACAAAAAGGTAAACTGCTTTCAATACATTGAACTCAATAGTTCTGGCACATAAAAGTGACAATGAAGAGTTAACTAAATGATTTTACAGGAATTTGATGCACATTGTTAAAAGAATGACCTTCTATTGCAGGATCAGTGGGATTCCTGGAGTCACACAGTAGATTCCTCAAGGTCCTGTTCACTCTGTGAATCTGAGCCAACAGTAGGGTGGGGGGGTCTGGAAACACCTGATGAATAGAAAATATATTAAACACAAGGAGGCATAAACATGTTGATACAAAAAAAACAAAAAACTCACTTTTCTCATATCTCCTTTCTTGAATTGGTCTTGCACTTCCATGTTGTCTTCTAGGTTGGAGCATAACTTCTCTCGCACCTGCTCTAAAGCCTGCAATCCAATCCACAAAAAGTCCTTTTCCCTCTCCAAGTCCTTCATCTTCTTCACCTGCGAATAAAACGCATGCTCTTACATTTTAAAATGTTACAAAAAAATCCATTTGGAGTTGTATTTTTGCATGATTGTCAGCGACAATATTAGTGTTTGTTTCCATAGTTGCTTCAAAAAAACAAAAACAAAAAAAAGTTCTCACAATTGCTTTGTGCAGAGTAAACAAAATAAAAATAGATCACAATGTGTGTGTTAAGTAGCTGTGAACTTTGAATATTCCCCTCAGAGCTGGACAGGAATGTCATGATGAACTGTGATAGTTGACATCTGTGAATATGAGGATTGTTGGTTTGAAAGAAATACTGATACAAATTTACATCTAGTTTTAAAATGACAGATTACCAACTTAATATACCATAAAAACTGCAGTACATACATTACATGACTGAATGTATGCTTGTCACCGATTCTAAACAATGTGAATGCATTTAGTTCATCTAATAATACTATAGTCACTTCAGTTACAGTATATTTGAATCACTTCATCTAAAAGCATACATAGAAAAAACATTACAACTAAGAAAATATACAAGAAAAAGCAAACTAACCCAGAGGAAGAACTGCAATGCATCCAGACTGTTAGGACTGCTCCTGAGAGGGACAATGACCACTGTGTAAGATGCCATTGGAGTTGCTAAGGAAAGCAAAGCTTTATATTTGAGGAGATGAGAAGAGAAGCAGGGACAAAGAGAGAATAGAATAACAGAGGCGGATGTTTTGCTGAAACCCCACCCTTGTGACAGAGAGACAGGTCAAAGTGTACAGTTTGCACAACTACTAATAAAGAATGACAAAACTCTTCACAAATGCAAACAATAAAAATGTTTTAAAATTACTTTCCACATTGAACAAATGCAAACTGGCATTTAACAATAACACATAAAACACTTTTAAAGTTGCATCACACAACAACCTCTTAAACATTCAAATGTCAATACAAAATAAAGTAAAAACATAAAACAGCTCAAACCTGTTAAATGATTACATCTTTAGGCAGTTCAATTTAACAGTTCAACATTCAATCTTTTAGACCCTTTCAACTGGTTTTTCTTTAACAATGAACATTTTATCCTTCACTATCTGCCATCAACCCATCATTTTTCCTTCTCTCTGTCTGTGGCGTTCCCTTAATTAAGCGGGTATGGGGTACACACTGAACATTCTAATCACACCGGTGTGATCGTACGCTCCAGGAACCAGCCTAGATGTAGGCTGTAATTGTACGCGTCAAAGGGTTAATATCCAAAAATATTTAATGAGTTCACTGCCATATAAATCACCTCAAAGCTAATAGACCACCTAGACTCAAAACTTTTGACAGATACCGGAAGTAAGAGAAAAGTGTTTATTACGTTTGAAATATGGATATTTTTCTTACAAAAACGCATGGATTCACTACAGAAGGCCTTTATTCACCCCCCGGAGCCGTGTGAGGGACGTTTTATTATGGATGCGCGCGTTTTATTTGACGACTTGTGGACCGTTCAACTGCAACACCCGCTGACTGCAATGATGGAGCTTGGAATAGCCAGGACCATTTTTAATATAACTCCGACTGGATTCGTCTGAAAGACCAAAGTCATATACACCTAGGATGCTTCGAGGGTGAGTAAAACACAAGCCAATTTTCATTTTTGGGTGAAGTAACCCTTTAAGCGGTTGTTCACCTGTGAATGGCAAAGACCAAAGCGAGAGCAGCAATGGCCTTCTCTCCTCCTGACAGGTTGTCCATGGCCATGAATCGTTTCCCAGGAGCTACACAGTTATAGTTGATGCCATCCGTAGGGCTCAATTGGATTCTCAGCACTGAGAATGGCCTAAAAGACATGTGCATACAAACAAAGTCTGATACAATAATAAAATTAACAAACAAATTACCGAATAAGTGAGCAAGTGTCAAGTAATGACCTGAGCGCTGGCGTTCCTGCAGAGTTTCTTGTAGATCTGGTCGATGACGACAGACACGTGTTCAAAGCACTGGCTGAAGAGATGGAAGCATCTGGACTTCACTTGCTCAAACTTCTGACTGTATTTCTTAGTGGTGTGTGTGCTGGTCTCAAATGTTGATCCATATAGGGTTAATGATTATTAAGGGGTAAAAACACAAAAACATGATCAGTGTTTGTTATGTCAACAACAAACTTGAGCTGAAATCAGGGTTATTATAGTTAACAGAAATTGTTACTTGTTAATTAACACTAAACCAAAATCTTCACACTTCCCAAATATATTATTATTATTTTAAAACCAATGCTAAATGGGGGAGAATTGTGGTTACAATGTGAGGATAAAATTGCTTTTTTTTTTTATCTGAATCTGAGCACAGTTGTGCCAAACCGTATGTCACAGGACAGACCTTAGTGTAAGAGACCCAATTTCAGTCTTCAATTTTAGTAGTAGTCTACACCGATATAAAAACGTGTATATACTTGTCCCGTACCATCCATTACTTCCCGAAAGCTGTCCTTCACCTCTCTTATCTTTTCTAGAGCTTTCAGGTTGGGAGCTCTGGACATCATGATCATGGACTCTAGAGAGGAGACGCCCTCTTTGAGCTTCTCCAACTCTCTTCAGTGAGGGCCTACACACACACATAATAAAATCAAAAACAACACTCCCACAAAAGAATGACTGCTGTGAGTGACAATGTTTTAATGTCATGTTTTCACCTTAAGGCCACTGTCTAGTGTTGAATAATCAAACACCATCTGCGCCTCATGTTCATAAATGTCCAGTGCTGATGCTCTGAGACTCTGAGTCCAGCTGCAGTGAAGTTTGAGTACACTTAAAGGGATAGTTCACCCAAAAATGAAAATTTCCTGCGGCTCGTGACGACACATTGATGTCCTAAGACACGAAACGATCGGTTTGTGCGAGAAACCGAACAGTATTTATATAATTTTTACCTCTAATACACCACTATGTCCAAATGTCTTCGAGCGCGCGCACGGCATCTGGTGCGTGAGGTGTGTACGCGCTCTGGCGTAGTTTACGCAAGCGCCGGAAGTGATCTCTCGCGCGTATACGTCACTCATTGTTACGTCACTTTTACCTCCCAATGCAGCTTCTCTGCGGTTTGGTTTAGAACAGCTCCCTTTTTCCGGGCCAGCTCTTTGAGTTCCTTATACCGCTCCATCTGCATCAAGACAAATAGTGTGTAACATGTATATAAAATATCGAAATGTTTTACAGTCAACATATTCAAAATCGGCCCCAACTATGACCCTAAAATTTCTAATTAAAACAGTTTCTACTCTGCTGAAACAATCAATGCCCTGTCAGTGAGAAAAAAAATATATTAACCAGTAATGTCACTTTTCTCTATTCAATACAACCCCAATAGATAAAATTCAGTCCCACTCTACTTTATTTCAGTGATTATTATTTTCCACTGCAATTATGTTGTCTTTGCAGGGAGACCGTGTTTGCAAAAGACTAATTTTAATCTGGCTCTCCTCTAGCTGCACTCCAGCTCCTCTTTGAGCCTCCTCCTCCTCCATCTGTCTCTCAGAGGCCTTCCAGGCCCTCTCCAGCTCAGCCACCTCGCTCCTTAGCTCCTGCAGCTCCTGCTCCTTCTTGGCCTGCTGACTTTGGTTCTTCTGAAGCGATCTGCGTGCCTCCTCCACTTTTTGCTCATGATGGGAGGTGTTCACTTTAGCTTTGATGTACTGAGGCCTCTGCTGATTGAGAATCTGCTCCTGAGATCTGGAAGGGATTAATATAAGAAATATGTTATAATTACATTTAAATATTTTTTATATAAATAATATAAACATACATAATTCAAAAAATATATAAATGTATACCTTTTAAAAAAATAACTTAAATCGACATTTTATTTATTCTGGTTTCAAAGACATCGGAAGTCAATGCATTGCCGGTGACTCACCTGATCTCTTTCTCCAGCTGCTGAAGTTCTCTGTTCAACCGCCCATGTTCTTTCTTCTGAGCCTTCACAGTTTGTTCACAGATGTCCAGGCTGTTCTTCTGCTGCGCTGCGGCGTCCTGCATGTCCCTCAGTGATTCTGACTGCGTGTCTATCTTTTTCTCATTGTGGAAGAGCTGTAAGAGGGTCAGCTGGAGTTTGCTTTCTTTGAGTTCGTCCACCAGCGCCTGATATTTTTCCGCCTGACAAGATCAAGACAAATACATTGTCAAGAGGATGTAAATATTTTGACATCTCACAGGTCTTTAATTTAATACCTCAGTCTTATCTTTGAAGACTTGTTTCTTCTCAGCTGTAGCTGCTTTCTTCTTGTTAAAGTGGAACTGGGTGTCCTCTTTGGCTTTCTGCAGTGTCGCCAGCTTGGCATCATACTCGGCACTCAACTCTCCGGAGTTGCTGATTCGTTCAAACATCTTTGTTCGTTCTTTGACATTCATCATGGCAATTGACTCCACAGCACCCTGATGATCAGTATAAGAATAAAAATTAACATTATAAATGATCATAAAGGCCGATAACCAAATGCTACAGCGTTTGTTGGCCACGGAAGCACCTGATACACCAAACAATTCTTCGCTTACATCCACAATGCCGATCTTATCCAGCTCTCCAGTGTACTTCGCCAAAGTGACCTGTTTACCGTTCACACGATACTCAGACGATTCGCCAGTAAAAAGAAAATCATACCAACAGAAAACAATCAAACGTGTTCTATCATATATTTTAGCCTGAGCTCAATCACACTCACCTGAAATGTGTCGGCTGAAGATCATTTCTTCATTGTTGTCTCCACAGTATACCATGCTCACGCTGGCGAAGGTGGACACGGGTTTGCCAATGTGGGCACCGTGGATGAGATCTCTGGTGTGTCTGACACGAAGATTTACAGCTCTCTCCCATCACAAATCCAAGAGCATCCATTACATTAGATTTGCCTTGAGAGGAGAAAAAACAATCAGTAAAACTAATCAATACTGATGATGCCTTCTAAACATTTTTAGCATGCAAAACATCCACATGCACCATGTTTTTTTGCTATTAAACAAAAATGTACTGTGGTGGTGATCTCTTAAAAAGTACACAAAACGACATGTTTTGGCACCATTAAAGGGGTCATATGATGCTGCTAAAAAGAACATTATTTTGTGTATTTGGTGTAATGAAATGTGTTTATGCAGTTTAAGGTTCAAAAAACACATTATTTTCCACATACTGTACATTATTGTTTCTCCTCTATGCCCCGCCTTTCTGAAACGCGTCGATTTTTACAAAGCTCATCTGTCTGAAAAAGCGAGGTGTGCTCTGATTGGCCAGCTATCCAGTGCGTTGTGATTGGCCGAATACCTCAAGCGTGTGACGGAAATGTTACACCCCTCACCATATTGTGATGCGTGCGGCAACCACATGTGACGACCCCGGGCTGGACTCGGCTTTGTCCACGGTGAAAGCTGATCCGGCGATCCGCAGCGCAAAGTTGAAGTATTTCCTCAGCAACCAGCACGGATCAGCTCCAGGTATGACGAAGCGATATCGTCCTCTTTTGGAAGGCCAAACAAAGTAGTTTCGCTTTCACAACGAAGCATATAGCGCTTCACTACATGGCGGCGGCGGCAACAACAATACTACAGTGAGAATAAAAGTTACGCCTTCTTTCTTTGCGTGAACATTTGGGCGGCGTTATGCAAATCTTCCCACAGAGCGACGTAGGTATGTTGGGGCGTTAGAATGAGCCATTTTAGGTAGGTGTGGTTAACTCTTAACCTTTATAAAGAATATCTCTTTGGATTTGAGACTTTAGTCTTTGCAACTTTACAGATCTTCTTTATGCACCAAGAGCTTGTAACACTCCAAAGAGAAAGGAAAAATTGAAATCGCATCATATGATTTCTTCGCCATCTTTCCCATTCAAGAACCTTAATGACATTAGATTAGCCAAAATCTATACAAAATAATAATGTAAGAGACGTAAAATACAATAGACAGATAATGACACCATCTAAGTAAATATATTGGACATATTTCTTCAAAACCGTGTGCAGCACGTTAACCATCTAAATAATGTAGATTATTTAGCAAATCTACTAATAAGTTGATTAATTTTGCGCTAGCAGTATACAGTAGCTAACGGTTTTATAAGAATAGTCACGCAAATTAGCTTAATTACCAATTTACCTGATCCATTAGTGCCAATTATACAATTAAACCTTTTAAATGGGCCGATAGTTTGTTTTCCTCGCCAGGACTTGACATGTTCGACGTTTAACTATTTTAAGAAACCCATGTTTAATTTGTGGATGAGCCAGATAACAGATTTATTCAAAGAAGTTGCAACTCGCTGACAGAAAAAAGGTGACGGCGGGAAGACTGCGTCATACTGCTGAATCTGCCGATTCGAAAATCACCTCAAAGAAAA